TTACAGACCCATCACAGACCAGTTACTGACGCATCACAGACCAGTTACTGAACCATAACAGACCAGTTACAGACCCATCACCGACCAGTTACTGACGCATGACAGACCAGTTACAGACCCATCACAGACCATTTACTGACCCATCACAGACCAGTTACTGACGCATCACAGACAAGTTACTGATCCATAACAGACCAGTTACAGACCCATCACAGACCAGTTACTGACCCATCACAGACCATTTAGAATTATATTAATTCATTCAACCTTTATTTAAACAGATAAATCACATTGAGCCTCCAAGACTCATTTACAAGTGAGACCTGTTTGGACAGACAAAAACAGTGGTTAACTGGACACATGGAGGAGTTGGAGGCGAAAAAAATTCCTATCAGACTTTTTTCTTGGCTGAGAAAAACCCTAATATTGAAAAAACACCTCGCACAAACAAGCACATATTTACGTAGACATTCTGCAGAGCAGAGCAGGAAAAAGGAAGAGACGAGAGCGGTCAACAACGTCTACAGATGCTCTCGAGGTCACTGTAATCAGTCAATGTCCTCCGGTGAGATCCATAAACATTCTCGAGGTATGTCGAGAAATGGCCAAGGATAACCTCTATAAGAATCCAGAGTCCTGAAATGATGACACAAAGTTTTTTCAGAGGGGGTTTCATCTGGTTATCAGTTGGAAATTCCTCAGGGAGGGGGTGGTGAGCGTCAGATCACATTTTCTCCAGGCGACTTTAGATAAGATGGCCTTCAAGGACCAGCCAAGGGAACTAAATTTAGATAAACACACAGTTGTTTTGGGGACAGGAAGAACTTAATGACATCAACCTTGAGTCTGTGTTGGTCCACTCGGTTCTGAAATGTCCAAATTAACATGGCCAACACTGATGGAAACGTGTCCGAGTAAAAATCCCCAAGATCTGATCCATTCAGCCCAAAGCATTTGAGTCCGGGTACTCCAGACATGAACCCAATAAAGGCACGCAGCGTGATCGGGTCCAAATTTGCTGCTGACGACTTCCTTGATTGTAGATAAAACCAGCACCAGCTGAATCCAAAAAGCAGGAACCAATTATCAAAAATCCAATTAAATATGCGTCCTTAAAATCCACAGATGGCAGCAGAGATAGACACATCATCAAGTTTTCCAGTCGATGAGATATCCAGCTGCGTATGTGCCAACAGGGTAAATCGGCTCGCCCAAAGCCTGTCTTCTCTTCGAAGAAATGTTGTAAATTGAGATGAGGGACCAACTGGTCAAAACAAGTCCATAATTATGGTTCGGAAAAAATGCAAGAGAGTCTCACAGCAATTTCACAGACAGTCAGAGCATCAAAGCAAAGCGGAGAGGGAGGGGGAGAAGCATCCGATCTCGTGGGGAGCGAGTGGTGAATTATAACAACCACTCCTGTGGAATGTCTTCATTAAAGGCAACACCGAGGAGGAAACCCAGTTTGACTTTTAATGTTTTAGTCCAAAATTATATACAAACCGGATTCCAAAATAGTTGGGACACTAAACAAATTGTGAATAAAACCTGAATGCAATGATGTGGAGGTGCCAACATCTAATATTTTATTCAGAATAGAACACAAATCACAGATCAAAAGTTTAAACTGAGAGAATGTATCATTTTAAGGGGAAAACTGTTGTTTCCAAATTTCATGGCATCAACAAATCCCAAAAAAGTTGGGACAAGTCCATTTTGACCACTGTGTGGCATTCCCCCTTCTTCTTACAACACTCAACAGACGTCTGAGGACAGAGGAGACCAGTTTCTCCAGTTTAGAAATAGGAATGCTCTCCCATTCATGTCTAATACAGGCCTCTAACTGTTCAATCGTCTTGGGCCTTCTTTGTCTCACCTTCCTCTTTATGATGTGCCAAATGTTCTCTATAGGTGAAAGATCTGAGAGTCAGAGTCAGTGTTTCTTTATTGTCATTCGCACCTCATGTGGTACATGTGGTGGAGCGAAATTATGTACACAGGGTCCCAGTTACATCCAACAATAAAATGCACAAGAAAAACAGTAATAACATCTAAAATATGAACTAAGAAAAACATCAACTAAATATACACTAAGCACTCATAACATAAAACATTGAACATCAGCACAAACATGAACATGAGTCCGCGAGCAGATGTGCATGCATGAACACACCAACATTGAAACAGATCAGCAGAAACATGAAACAGATCAGCAGCAACATGAAACAGATCAGCAGCAACAT